TAGTAATCGTGATCTATGAAAACCAGAAAATTGTTAGTAGTCCGAATTTTTGCACAGTCGAAAATAAAGCGGAAATTCAACAAGCGGTCGCGGAAGCAGGCGAGAGGTTGGGCGAAATGAGTTCCGTACTTCTTTGTTTGATGAAGCGATGCTGATGCCACATTGTCGCCATAATGAGGCCACATTGAAGCGAAGCGATAACCGCCTAACTTTTTAATGTCGCGACATTGATGCGATGCTGAAGCCATAACAATGCCATAATGATGCGATGCTGAAGCGAAGGTGAAGCTGAAGTGAAGCCAAAGCTTCCGCGAGAACTGTACTGTATATTGGTTTGACTATCCTATTAAAAATGGCCGAATGGTGGCCATTTTTGGGCTAAAAAATCATCAAAATCAAGCATTTCCCGGCTGTTTACAGAAGGATTTTGTTCAAACTTGGTATATACATTAGACATTATAGGACCTTGATGCACATTATTTTGTTTTACTATCTGATTTAAGATGGCCGAATGGTGGCCATTTTTGTGCTAAAAAAATTATTATAAATCAACCATTTCTCGGCTGTTTACAGATGGATTTTGTTCAAACTTGGTATATACATTAGACATTATGGGGCCGTTTTAATAATTTTGCTTTTCAGATAAGATTCGAAATGGCCGACTGGCGGCCATTTTGTTTAAATGAATGTGTTTCTCGTGTCATATCTCTGGCTTGCTTTCACTGATTATGTTCAAATTTTAAATATTCATTATCATAGATAGACAGATATATTGGTTTGACAATCCTATTCAAAATGGCCAAATGGTGGCCATTTTTGTGTTAAAAAAAATCCTTAAATATCAAGCATTTCTTGCATTTATGAATGGATTTTGTTCAAACTTGGTACATATATTAGACATCACGGGTTCCTGAGGCACGTCATTTCATTTTTCAGATTGGATTCAAAATGGCTGTCTGGCGGCCATTTTGTTTTAATGATTGGGCTTCTAGAGCCATATCTCTTAAATGCTTTGACTGATTATATTCAAATTTTATATATTCGTTACACATCATGTTATATATATACATGTATTCAAAATGGCTGATTTTGAATGCTGTTCCAGAGCAATATCTCTCAATATGGACAAGTACTTGTTTGACGATCACATACAAATCATATTCCTGACATGGTTATATTCTAGCTATATTATTATAAACATAACTATATATCTTAAATTTGATAACTAATTGGGACTGTGCTATGCATGGCATGTTGTATTTCAACATGATGCATTTTAAAGCATTTGCTCTGTTGTAAATGTAAATAATAGAAATGGTCAAAATAAGTCAGTTTTATGATCTAGCATACAATAAATGCAATTCTTGGTTTATGTGCACTGACCAAAGGTATTGATATTAAAATGATTTTCAGTTTATTTTTGTTCTTCGCACTGAGTCATCAGTGTGTTGATTTCTTTCCCAATTTCATTGTTTTACAGAAGTTGAAAATCTATCTACCATTGCACAAAATCGAACACCGGAAACTGATTTAGGATCGACTGGTGGCAGTTTTGCGAAATTTAGCAGTACTGGTGGTAGCAGTGATAGTGGTAAGACGAGACTCATTGACGTCAATAAATAGCGCCCATGTATGGTCATTACGGCAAATATGGAAATAATGTATAGTAGTAATTTGTCATCAAAAAAACTATCAAAGGTTTTTGTTTTTTATGCAGTTTTATCCAGAAAATTATAAGGAATCTAAGGACTCTATGAAAATACATATGAAAAAAAAAAGATGTAATTTCTGTTAAAAAAAAAATACAGCATAGAGAAAACAGAAATGATAGCAGTGAGATTAAACCTATCATGTAGTGATTGACCATGTGGTCTTTGGTTCAGTGTTCAAGTTACACACAGTGCACATACTAGTAATATATCTTCCACTAGTAGTTCTGCCAAACTTATGCAGTGCTCTTGTGTCATTTCACGGGAAAAGTCACTGTATATTCTTGTTAAAAACAATCATCTTAAAATCATAAAGAAATGTGCAAGTCAGTTGTAATCCGCATTTCTCATTGGTGGTTGTACAGCTAATATCGAATATTACATCAATTCTCTTCACATCTACAGACAAGGGTTCGGAAAAGACACTTTACACAGCTGTGGTGTGGGTGTTTGCTAATATCAGTGGTATGGTCAGTTTTCTACCGGATGGCACCATTCATAGCATCAATCATAATTTTGCTCTTATGCTCTTTGGTTACTCACAACAAGAGCTGGTCAGCAAGGTAAGGAAACACTACAAGATTTGTTGATATTATGACAATTCCATTTAAATAACTTCACTGCTTAACCTTTACACCACCTTACTTTCTTGTCCAAATTTGTCTGCATTTTTAGCTCCGCTGTCGACTTTGTCGAGCGGAGCTTATCATATGAGTGATTGTCCGTCGTCGTCGTCGTCCGTGTCAATGTTTTACTTTTTCGACTTCTTCTTGAAAACTACAAGCCTAAATGCTTTGATACTTGGTGTATATGTACCTTGGGTAGACCTCTCTTAGGTTTGTTCATTTCATGTTGATATCTTTAATTCTCTAATTTTGGTGAATATTTTTGTCATTTTTGGTAAAAAGTGATATTTTCAACTTCTTGTTAAAAACCGCAAGTGCAATTGCTTTGATATTACATCTATAGGTACTACATGTGGACCTCTCTCAGATTTGTTAATTTTGTAATGATATCTTTAATTCTTTAATTTTGGTGATTATTTTTGTCATTTTTGGTAAAAACTGATATTTTCGACTTCTTGTTAAAAACCGCAAGTCCAATTGCTTTGATACTACATATATAGGTACTACATGTGGACCTCTCTCAGATTTGTTCATTTCGTGATGATATCTTCAATTCTCTAATTTTGGTGAATATTTTTGTCATTTTTGGTAAAAACTG